TCATGTTGTGAGTTGTCTCTGCCACTTTATGACCGATTTTGAACTTGAATAAGAAAATCACTTGAATTTGCTTTTGTGTAACATGTGCATAGTCGAAAATATATACAAAATAAGTAGCAAGTAAGAAGTCATTAGCAAAAAAACAAAGTTAGAAATGTGCATTAAAATGATGTATAACATGACTACATTTACTTTAGAATGTATTCCAATATTAAAAAATGGCAAATTTCAACAATGCAAAAACCACAAATACATTTGCACCAACCTAATATTCCTATCAAACTGCTAATGATGTTCTTCACAGAATTAGAAAAAACAATATTTTAAAATTCATATGGAACCAAAAAAGAGCTGAATAGCCAAGGCAATCCTAAAAAGAACAAAGCTAAAGGCATCATGTTACCCAACTTTAATTTATACTACAAGGCTATGGTAACTAAAACAGCATGGTACTGTACAAAAACAGATATAGACCAGTGGAATAGAATGGAGACCCAAGAAATAGTGCTACACTTCTACAGTCATCTGATCTTTGACAAAGCTGACAAGAACAAGCAATGGGGAAAGAACTCCTTATTCAACCAATGGTGCTGGGGATAACTGGCTAGCTATATGCAGAAGATGAAAACTGGACCCTGTCCTTATTCCATAAACAAAAATCAACTCAAGATGGACTAAAGACCTAAATATAAACCTAAAGCCATAAAACCCCTGAAAGATAACCTAGGAAATACACCATTCTAGTCATATGATTTGGCAAAGATTTCATGATGAAGATACCAAAAGCAATTTCAACAAAATCAAAAATTGACAAATGAGACCCAATTAAAGAGCATCTGCACAGCAAAAGAAACCATCAACAGAGTAGATAGTCTACAGAATGGGAAAAAATATTTGTGAACTGTGCAACTATCAAAGGTTGAATATCTAGAATCTATAAGGAACTTAAACTTACAAGCAAAAAACAAATAACCACATTAAAAAGTGGGCAAAAGACTTGAACAGGAACTTTTCAGAAAAAGGTATATATGCAATCAATAAGCATATGAAAAAAATGCTCAACATCATTAATCATTAGAGAAATGCAAATCTAAACTGCAGTGAGATACCATCTCACACCAGTCAGAATGGTTATTATTAAAAAGTCAAAAAATAACAGATGCTGATGAGGCTGCTGAGAAAAGGGATTGCTTATATGCTGCTGGTGAGAGTGTAAATTAATTCAGCCATCATGGAAAGCATTATGGTGATTCCTCAAAGAACTTAAAACAGAACTACCATATGATCCCTCAATCCCATTATTGTACATATACTCAAAGGAATAGAAATCATTCTTTTATAAAGATACATGCACACAGATAATCATTGTAGCACTATTCACAATAGCAAAGACATGGAATCAACCTAAAAGACCATCAACAGTAAACTGAATAAAGAAAATGTAGTACATATACATCATGGAATACTACGCAGCCATAAAAAGAATGAGATCATGTCTTTTGCAGAAACATGGATGGATTTGGAAGCCATTATCCTAATCAAACTAATGCAGGAACAGAAAACCAAATACCATGTGTTCTCACTTATAAGTGGGAGCTGTATAATGGGACACACGGACTTAAAGAAGGGAACATTAGACTCTGGGGCCTACTTGAGGGAAGCAGGTGGGAGGAGGGAGAAGATAGAAAAAATACCTATTGAGTCCTATGTTTATTGCCTGACTGATGAAATAATCTGTATACCAAATCTCCATATCACCCAGTTTACCTATATAACAAACCTGTACATGTACTCACAAACCTAAAATAAAAGGTAAAAGAAAGGAATGTAAAAGAACAAAACAACTATGGTAACTTTGAAATGCATAAACTATCACACACAAGAGAAAAACTGAGTCTTTGTCTATAGAAGTCAGAAAAACTGTTATAGATAAGCTCACCTCTGATCTGAGAACTAAAGAATATGTGAGAATTAGCCAGACACGATTTATTTCAAACAATAGATGTTAGTGAGGTTCCAGAGGAAAGGGAACACTTATACACTGTTGGTGGGAATGAAAAATAGTTCAGCCACTGTATAAATCAGTTTGGAGATTTCTCAAATAACTTAAAATGAAGCTATCATTTGAACCAGTAGTGGTACCCATTAATTATGTACCCATTATGTTCATTGTAGCGCTATTTACAATAGCAAGGACATGGAATCAACCTAATTCATAATATAATTATGTACCCATTAATTATATAGCCATTACGTTCCTTGCAGCACTATTCACAATAGCAAGGACATGGAATCAACCTAAGTGCCCATCAACAGTGGATTGGATAAAGAAAATACGGTATATATATACACTGTGGAGTACCATGCAGCCATTAAAAAAAAATCATTCCCTTTACAGCAACATGGCTGAAGCTGGAGGGCATTATCCTAAGCAAATTAATGAAGGAACAGAAAACCATATACTATATGTTCTTACTTTTAAATGGAAGCTAAACATTGAATACACATGATTGTAAAGATAGAGACCATAGACATTGGGGCTCACTAGATGGGTAAAGGAGGGAGTAGGGCGTGGGCTGAGCAACCACTTGTTGGATACTATGCTTATGGCCTGAGTGATGGGATCATTGGGACATGAAGTCTCAGCATCATGCAATTTACCCATGTAACAAACCTGCACACCATGTACTCTTTAATCTGTAATGAAAGTTGAAATTTAAAAAATTATTTTTGACAAAAAGGGAATAAAGAAGTTCATTTCAGATGAAGGAAAGAGCTTTCGCAAAGGTACACCTGTGCAGTTCAGCCTGGTGTATTCACGGGATTATAAACAGTTCGGTTGAGCTACAGTCTAAAGAGCTGGAGGGAATTTGGCAGAGTGGGCCAGATGTTTAGTTGAAGAACCATTTCTGAAGGGCTTTGTGTGTTGTGTTAAGAGTGTCGTACATGGTCACACTGGTGGCAATGTGAGAAATAGAATAAGGGAAAGGGAAAAGAAGCTAGTAAGCCATAGAGAGGGCATTGCATTTATTTCTAGGCAATGGATGATGAGGGTCTGCACTGAGGTAGAAGCATGAGGAGGGAGAGGGGTAGCTGAATCAGATAAATATGTGTATATTAGGAACTGTGATGATGATGGCTCTCTGTGAATGGCCTTGGTCTAAAGAGACATCCCTTCCCCAACAAATTCATGACTGTGCCTCGGAGCAACCCACATATAGTGACATGGTTACAAGGAAAGTGGGAATAAGACCTGTGACCTCACCTTGGGATGGCACTAAAGGACCATTCAGTTTCAGAGCTCCCTGTGGGGTGAGTGAAGGACTTTGTTGAGGGTGCAGCACAGCCCAGCTTCTCCCTCTGCCCCATTTCCCTCTGCTCCTGTGCAAGGGCAGCTTCCAGAAACCTTTTGCACATGAATTTCCCTCTCAAAATCTGCTTGTGAAGAACCCAAACTATGCCAAACTGGGATATAGAAGTAATAGATTTGGAAACTGATTTAATAAGAGGCATAGCAAAAAGGAGGAACCTAGAATGCTTGTTCCAATCACTGAGATAGAGACACAGGGTGTGGCCAAAGTAGGCAAGTGCGAGGATGAAGAGACAATAATTCAGGAATAAACTGAGTTTGACTTGCCTGTGGAGCATTCTGCTGGAAGTGTCCAGTAGATAGTTGAATTTTCCAGGAAGGAACTTACAAAAGAAGTTGTCATGATAATGAATGAGACGGTTGTGGGAAAACATGTATATTGAGGAAAAAGGAGGGGAGAAGGGAAAATCCTGGGAAAATCTATCAGAAATGTCCAGGAGACAATTAACTGGGACAGCTAATAGCTTGTGATAGGAGAATTATTATTGCTGATAAGACTTGATGAGGTGTGCATAGAAAGCAGGAAACAAAACTGGAGAAACCTGTTTTTTTTTTTTAAATGGAAAGCAGATGAGTTAGAATCCTTAAGACTGACATTCTTTTCACATGAGAATGAGTAGAAAAGGAAACAAGTTGGATTTTTTATTTCTGAACAGTCACCAAGTCCTGTGGATTCTTTTGCTGAAATAATTGAGGTTTCCAGGACAAGAAGGCAATGCACATGAGGAAGACATCAACTTGATTCTCAGGAAGATTTTTACATCAAGCTCTGGCAGTCCTTGATCAATTATTTCTGTGCCTGGGCCTCACTGGCTCCTAAAAGAAGCCCCACTGTTGGGGAACTAGGGGCTTATTCCAGTGCCTGGAAAGAAAAGGGGCATCTCCAAGTTCCTAGCTTTGGCCTCATGCTGGGGACAGGGAATTTTGTTTTTTGAAATTCAGCCTATCCAGATAATAAAGTAAGTCTATCTGCAGCTGCAGGTTAAAATGAATCTCAGCAGAGATCAAAGTATGGGGTAGCAGATGAAAAATTGCTCTTGTAAATCAGCCTCTGGTACTTGAACTTCAACTTCTGAGTCAGATTTAATGATAATTAAATTTACTTACAGTGAAGTTCTAGAAAACAAGCCAGTTACTTTGTTTTTAAAAGAAAGGCAACCAAATATAGAGCTGAGCTGGGACAAACTGGGGCAGAGAAAGGTTAGACAGGGTAAAGAAGCTGTCAGTGGGAACAGAACAAAGCGTGGGATGTTGCAAAGTGGGGGGACATAATGGCAAAGGGATAGTAAAAATGACACTGGATGGAGCTCATAAGAAATGCCCTTGTTGAAAATCATGAGCTTCTGTCAAATGCTCAAGTCCATTCTCCTGAAAGGTCACTATTGGGCTAGCTCACTAGGAAAAATAAATAGGGCAGATTGATTCAGTGTAGCGTGTGGTTTCATAGTCGCTAAAGGTCACATGGCTTGAGAACATTGATGGAAAGTGGTCCTTAGGTCAGACCGAGGCTCACACTGCCTAAGCCCACTGAAAGCTCTAAACACCCCACATCCCACAACCCACATCCAGGTGCCCTTCAGAGCAAACAACTCACCCGTGTGTCTGTCTTTCTGTGTAGAGAGCAGGTGGCCAAGAAGCACTGTGCTAATAACTGGTGGCACAGAAGTAAAGAGCTGTGTGCTTGGGGATGGCAGACTCTACGGACAGGGAGAATTTAGACTGTTCCTGTCGAGAGACACTGTATCCATCAGAGATCTCTCCTTCGTTTCTATCTCCGACACCAATGGAGTAGTAGATCAACTGTAGCCCCAGTCCTGGGTCTTGTCGATACCAGTACATTTGATTATCACCCCTAGTCTGAGAACATTCCAGCATAATCTTCTTTCCTTTCTTTGTGATCCTATTTCTTGGGGTCTGGGTAACACCAGAATCCATGGACCCTGTGGGGAAATAAGACAGAAACTGAAGACAGAGCCTGGTAAGTGTCCTCTTGCTGTCATCTCTAGGGAGAGGCTTAATCCAGAACCTGGAAAATTTAAGGCAGCGATTTCCCCATCTGCTTTCCAAACTCACCTGTTCCCAGGAGAAAAAAGGCCACACAGAAGAGGCGCAGGGAGGCCATGGCAGGGAGAGGCAGGATGGAGGTGCTTCCAGCTCTGGATGTTGATGGAAGCAGGGCAGGAAATAGAAAACTGGGAGGATTCAGGAAGTGATGTCATTGTTCCTCCCAAGGTACTGGCCTTAAAGAAAGATGTAACTTTGTCTTATGTATTGTATGTTCTCAGCAGATGCTGAAACTCTTCTACTTGCTTCTCTTCTCTTTCTGGTGCTTTACTGACAACCACCTGAGATTGTCCGTCTCCCCTTCTCAGGGGATACTTATTTCAGTTGTTCATGGAGAGATCATCCTCCTGACAAAACATACAGGAGAAAATTCAAAACCAGAAGTCACTTGAATGATAAGACATTATAACTCATCTCCTTTTTTTCTGCATTTAATCATTTATTCCAACTCAGTTCTTGGTAAACTATGTAATTTGAATACATTCTCTGTAAAGTTTGAGACTTTTTGTTTGTTTTAAGGAGGACAGGATTTCTAAATTTGTTTCAAATCGCTCCAATTTTTAGTGGCTCCTGCTTTTCTGGTCAATGTTTTCTGAACTCAGAGCTTAATTGAAAATACTGGTTTCTTGTAGAAAGGTGTTAGCATAACATGGGTATATGCTTCGAAGAAGTACTGAACACATTCATTCCTGTTTTGAATTAGCTGAAAATACAGTGGTTCATTAAAGAATTGATTTTATCCTAACATATATTATTCCTGACTTTAGGAGGAAAGAGTGTAATATTTAAGGCAGTAGATTGCAAGTACAGAACAGCTATAGTGATAGTGTGCAACCCTGTCTGATGTAATAAACAACTGGCTCTTTGCTGCTTCAGATCTGTGCTTGTCCTGGTGAAGCAGGAGAGTTCCCTGACACCTCCTTGAGGACTTGAGCTCATAAGAAATGCTCTTGTTGAAAATCATGACCTTCTGTCAAATGCTCAAGTTCATTCTTCTGAAAGGTCACTGTCGGGCTAGCTCACTAGGAAAAATAAATAGAAAGGGTAGATCGATTTAGTGTAGAATGTTGTTTTATAGTCATCACATGGCTCGGGGACATTGATCCAAAGTGGTCCTTAGCTCAGACCGAGGCTCACACTGCCTAAGCCCACTGAGAGCTCTAAACACCCCACATCCCACAACCCATATCCAGGTGCCCTTCAGAGCAAACAACTTACCCATGTGTCTGTCTTTCTGTGTGGAGAGCAGGTGGCCAAGAAGCACTGTGCTAATAACTGGTGGCACAGAAGTAAAGAGCTGTGTGCTTGGGGATGGCAGACTCTACGGACAGGGAGAATTTAGGCTCTTTCTGTCGAGAGGCACTGTATCCATCAGAGATCTCTCCTTCGTTTCTATCTCCGACACCAATGGAGTAGTAGATCAACTGTAGCCCCAGTCCTGGGTCTTGTCGATACCAGTACATTTCATTATCACCCCTAGTCTGAGAACATTCCAACGTAATCTTCTTTCCTATCTTTGCAATCCTATTTCTTGGGGTCTGGGTAACACCAGAATCCATGGACCCTGTGGGGAAATAAGACAGAAACTGAAGACAGAGCCTGGTAAGTGTCCTCTTGCTGTCATCTCTAGGGAGAGGCTTAATTCAGAGCCTGGAAAATTTAAGGCAGCGATTTCCCCATCTGCTTACCAAACTCACCTGTTCCCAGGAGAAAAAAGGCCACACAGAAGAGGAGCAGGGAGGCCATGGCAGGGAGAGGCAGGATGGAGGTGCTTCCAGCTCTGGATGTTGATGGAAGCAGGGCAGGAAATAGAAAACTGGGAGGATTCGGGAAGTGATGTCATTGTTCCTCCCAAGGTACTGGCCTTAAAGAAAGATGTAACTTTGTCTTATGTATTGTGTGTTCTCAGCAGATGTTGAAACTCTTCTACTTGTTTCTCTTCTCTTTCTGGTGCTTTACTGACAACCACCAGAGAGTTGTCTCTCTCTCCTTGTCAGGGCATACCTATTTCAGTCGTTCAAGGAGAGATCATCCTGCTGACAAAACATACAGGAGAAAATTCAAAACCAGAGTCACTTGAATAATAGGATATTATAACTCATCTCCTTTTTTTCTGCATTTAATCATTTATTCCAACTCAGTTCTTGGTAAACTATGTAATTTGAATACATTCTCTGTAAAGTTTGAGACTTTTTGTTTGTTTTAAGGAGGACAGGATTTCTAAATTTGTTTCAAATCGCTCCAATTTTTTAGTGGCTCCTGCTTTTCAATGTTTTCTGAACTCAGAGCTTAATTGAAAATATTGGTTTCTTGTAGAAAGGTGTTAGTATAACGTGGGTATATGCTGAGAAGAAGTACTCAACACCTTCATTCCTATTTTGAATTAGCTGAAAATACAGTGGTTCGTTAAAGAATTGATTTTATCCTAACATATATTATTCCTGACTTTAGGAGGAAAGAGTGTAACATTTAATGCAGTAGATTGCAAGTACAGAACAGTTATAGTGATAGTGTGCAACCTTGTCTGATGTAATAAACAACTGGCTCTTTGCTGCTTCAGATCTGTGCTTGTCCTGGTGAAGCAGGAGAGTTCCCTGACACCTCCTTGAGGACTTGAGCTCATAAGTAATGCTCTTGTTGAAAATCATGACCTTCTGTCAAATGCTCAAGTTCATTCTTTTGAAAGGTCACTATTGGGCTAGCTCACTAGGAAAAATAAATAGACAGGGTAGATCGATTTAGTGTAGAATGTTGTTTTATAGTCATCACATGGCTCGGGGACATTGATCCAAAGTGGTCCTTAGCTCAGACCGAGGCTCACACTGCCTAAGCCCACTGAGAGATCTAAACACCCCGCATCCCACAACCCATATCCAGGTGCCCTTTACAGCAAACAACTCACCCGTGTGTCTGTCTTTCTGTGTGGAGAGCAGGTGGCCAAGAAGCACTGTGCTAATAACTGGTGGCACAGAAGTAAAGAGCTGTGTGCTTAGGGGTGGCAGACTCTACGGACAGGGAGAATTTAGGCTCTTCCTGTCGAGAGGCATTGTATCCACCAGAGATCTCTCCTTCGTTTCTATCTCCGACACCAATGGAGTAGTAGATCAACTGTAGCCCCAGTCCTGGGTCTTGTCGATACCAGTACATTCGACTATCACCCCTAGTCTGAGAACAATCCAGCATCATCTTCTTTCCTGTCTTTGTGATCCTATTTCTTGGGGTCTGGGTAACACCAGAATCCATGGACCCTGTGGGGAAATAAGACAGAAACTGAAGACAGAGCCTGGTAAGTGTCCTCTTGCTGTCATCTCTAGGGAGAGGCTTAATTCAGAGCCTGGAAATTTTAAGGCAGTGATTTCCCCATCTGCTTTCCAAACTCACCTGTTCTCAGGAGACAAAAGGCCACACAGAAGAGGAGCAGGGAGGCCATGGCAGAGAGAGGCAGGATGGAGGTACTTCCAGCTCTGGATGTTGATGGAAGCAGGGCAGAAAATAGAAAACTGGGAGGATTCAGGAAGTGATGTCATTGTCCCTCCCAAGGTACTGGCCTTGAAGAAAGATGCAACTTTGTCTTATGTATTGTATGTTCTCAGCAGATGCTGAAACTCTTCTACCTGCTTCTCTTCTTTTTCTGGTGCTTTACTGACAACCACCAGAGAGTTGTCGCTCTCCTCTTCTCAGGTCATACTTATTTCAGTTGTTCAAGGAGAGATCATCCTCCTGACAAAACATACAGGAGAAAATTCAAAACCAAATTGAATTTCGAATAAAGGGAGTGGAGTCTCATTTGACTGATAGGACTTTATAGCTCTTCTCCTTTTTTTCTGCATTTAATCATTTATTCTGAGTTCTTGGAAAACTGTACAGTTTGAATACATTCTCTGTAAAGTTTGAGACTTTTTTTTTTTTTTTTTTTTTTTTAAGGAGGACCAAATTTCTAACTTTGTTTCAAATTGCTCCAGTTTTTTAGTTACTCCTGCTTTTCTGGTCAGTGTTATCTGGGCACAGAGTTTTATTAAAAATACTAATTCATTTTAGAAAGGTGTTAATATAATGCGGGTATGTGTTTCAAAGAAGAGTTCAAAACCTTCATTCCTATTTTGAATTAGCTGAAAATACAGTGGTTCATTAAAGAATTGATTTTATCCTAACATATATTATTCCTGACTTTAGGAGGAAAGAGTTTAATATTTAATGCAGCAGATTGCAAGTATAGAACAGCTATAGTGATAGTGTGCAACCCTGTCTGATGTAATAAACAACTGGCTCTTTGCTGCTTCAGATCTGTGCTTGTCCTGGTGAAGCAGGAGAGTTCCCTGACCCCCCTCAAATGACTTGCTTATGTATTGTATGTACAGGTGTAACTCACCTCTTCAATTGTTGCAGCTGCTCAAACCCTTGAGGGGAAAAGGAGCATGCAGATGGACGGATGCAGGAGCCCAAGTGGGCAGATAGCCCTGCCATCCGTGCACGGCTTGCAGGTTAACTAGCTCAGTGGACCCTCTGCGTTTTTGCAAGGGCAGAGGCCCAGTGTGACAGCTTTCTGTATCCTGAGCTCTTGGTCAGCATCTTGGAAGAATCAGGTCACACAAGGGCTTGAAGGATGAGTGTGGGGTTTCACTGAGTGTGGAGCTGGCTCTCAGTGGGATGGATGGTGAACTTGAAGGGGGGATGGAGTGAGAAGATAAACTTCCCCTTGGAGTCTGGCCATCCAGGGACCAAACTCTTCTCTTACCACCCCCAGCTGAACTTCTCTCGGGGTTCAGACATTCCTTCGCTTCTCTTTCTGCCACGTCATTCTACCTTCTGTCTGCTTGTCTCCTTGTCTCTTCACCTGCTCGTCTGCCTCTGAAGCCTGGGGTTCGGGGTTTAAATGGGTATAGGAAAGGGAGCATTGCAGGCCAAAAGACGAATTTTGGGACATGAAAACAGGAATGCCTGTCCCATATACAGCTGTGGGTCTCCAGGCTTGAGGGTGGGGCCTTTGCCAAGAAGCCGCCCTCTTCTACCCAGTATTTCTGTCTCTTGTCTATATCACTCGCTCTCCCTCATGCGTGGGTACACCATGGCATCCTACCCTAATCATTACTGCTGCATGCCAAATTGGTAACGACTTATTTATAGATGTTTTTACTTTTAATTCTAAAAATTTCAAACATTTACAAAGTAAGCTTAAGAAAATAATGAGCAGCTACAAAACCATTGCGCCCTTATTTGTTGTAATTCTGAAAGTAAACGTGCTGTTTTGCTGCCCCCTGCTGTGGGCAGTAA